AGACTGCTATTGTATCTCTTGTAGACAATACGTTTGAATAATAATGACAACAAACTACAAACACAATTTGTATATACAGAACACATGTGAAAATTGCTAGATCATTTCTATCTATTTTTTTTATATATTTCAATTTAACAATTGCTTAAAACACTAGAATATGTATTGTATTTATGTTAAATAAATGAAATCAAATTAAGAACTTAAAGCATTATTTCCACATAACTTATAACCTGTAAAGGGGGTACTCTGCCTCTCACCCAACGCCAGCTGGGACAGAATGCAGCCCCCTTCCCATGTCCACAGTTGGATAAACGGTTAAGAAAATGAATGGATGGATGTACACACACACTCAAGCAGACAAACAGACTACAACCCCCCAACTTATCATCTCTGCACCCTTAGTTCAGTCAGTCACATATATGCATATCTCAACTCCCCAAGGCCAGTGGACAGTTGGGGAGCCCTACTGATTAGTTTCAACGTCCCCCTGCATCCTTCTGCCTTCTCCTGCCGTCCTCCAAGCATCTTTGCTTCCCTCCCCTACTCTGCTAAGGGCAACAGCTCCAGAGGTCTACCATATGGACTAGTGTCTGAGCGGCTGACAGCCTGCCTCCCTGCAGCTTGCATGTGTGTGTGTTTTGTGTATGTGTTCATTTCAACCCTGTGCTGACTGTTTAGTCTGCCCCACCTGTTCCTCTGTAACAACAGACCAGACCTCTCATCAAGCCATCCATGACGGGCTGCTGGATGGATGGATGGATGGATGGATGGATGGATGGATGGATGGATAGATGGATGGATAGATGGATAGATGGATAGATGGATAGATAGATGGATAGATGGATAGATAGATAGATAGATAGATAGATAGATAGATAGATAGATAGATAGATAGATAGATAGATAGAAATAAATAAATGGTAAATGGCCTGTATTTATATAGCGCTTTACTAGTCCCTAAGGACCCCAAAGCGCTTTAGATATCCAGTCATCCACACATTCACACACTCATTCACACAGATAGATAGATAGATATCCTATCCTATCCTAAGGACATCTATATAGATAGATGAGTGATGATTGTGGCATTTTCATCTAGCAGAGCAACTGGGAATTATGTTATTTTTAAGCACCTGAAAGTCATTGAAAATATTCTTAAATATCCTTAAAAAGGAGAAAGATTTTAAAAAATGGGGCAAAAGGCAGGAAAACAGATGGATAAGCTGAAGCAGACAGACAGATGAGGGGATAATAATAGATTAAAAATATGGAATAATTTATTCTTAAAAATGAATGACAGACTGTGCTGTGAACAGACAGCAGTAGACAGACATACCGCCCTGCTTCCCAAACACCCAAGGACACAGGATAACAATGAATGAATTTGGGGGTGATAATGAGAGGTCAAACAGAAGAATAAGTCTCAGGCTTGTACACCTGTGGCCCACCTTCTGCCATCTAAACAACCCAGCAACCACAATCACCGCAATATTTAGTTACTCTCATTAAAACCTCCTGAATAATGTAAAGGTATATATGGATGAGACATTCATGCGGAGGAGAGGAGACCACACTGAGGGTTAGACGGATCTACATAATAGGAATATATCTCTCTCCATCTGCTCGTGTGTTTATAATCTTCCCCTCCTCCTTCTTAATGCTGATCTATCTATTTGATACCCCCACCCCATTCCCCCAATCAGCTTCTCTAACATCATGGTCTATATAGAGCCTGCCTTATTTTGCGTACTAAATGCGGTGCATGTGTGTCTATGCAAATGCATGTCTGTTTGTCTTTATCTGTGTATTTCAGTGTCTGTATGAGTTGACACAAGCACTTTGTGGTCTCAGAGGAATTAACCAAGCGTCTGCCACCTGACCCCGTTGACTCTGACCATCCTGGGCTCAGCTGATACGCGTGCCTTGTGGCCCTGACATGTGGATGACAAAAAAGCATGAAGAGTGGGAGGAGGCCAAGGACAGAAGGACCGGCAGGCAATGAATGATTATGATGACTAGGGCCATCTTGCTTGCCTCTGCAGCCTCCCCTCCACACCCCAGTAGAAATCCTGGACTTGGCCCTGGCTCTGGCTTACACATGGACAAGTGATCTGGCTTGGGTCGGCGTGGGTGAAGTGTCACCACCAGGCAGGGTCTGGCCTGTCAGCTGTCAGGGATGACAGGAGGAGACTAGAGGAGGTGTGTAAATAATAGAGGAAAATTGGTAAAGGTAAATAATCGCAAAAAGAAAATAGCTGAGGAGGGTGGATCTGTAAAAAGAAAGCTGAGGGAACAGACAAAAAAAGGAGATAATTTTGGAGGAGCTGACTAAAACAATGGATGAAAGGGAACAGGTTTTGCGGAGGTGTCATATCTGCCAGGCCTTATGCAACCTACAGTGCTCACACAGATGGCATGACTGCTGAGAAAGTAGGGTAAACAGTACCAGCTAATGACTTGCCCCCTCTTGACTTTGTACAGTGAGCTGAGAAAGCACATTATTGGAAAAAAGGGCAATCTCTCATGTGGATTAAGAATCTGTCAGGTCAACCACTGTACAGTGAAGAGTGAATAGGTAAATATGGGGGCTGGTGTAGTAATGGTCAAAGCTGGTTATAACTGAGCTCCACAGAGTTTGGAGAAGCCGTACCCAAAGGCTCGAGAATACTATGTCTCAACACTGAGAAGAAAAACACAAAAACCTCTAATCATTACCATGTCACAAAAATCAGATAAGAGCCAAATATCCTTGAGCAAAATATTAACCCCATGTTGCCCTCCAATGCATCCATCGGAGTGTGAATGCGAGTGAATGTTAGAAGCCCTAAAAACCTTAGATAAAGTGTTTGTGTGAATGGGCATGATTGGGTGAATGCACAAGTTGTATAAAGCGCTTTGAGTGCTCAGTGAGAGTAGAAAAGCGTTATATAAGAACCAGTCCACTTACCATTCTCTTTATACTTAAAAATGAAAATGCTCATGCATTAAGTCGCATGGTAATATTAGTCCTACAGTTTAACAGGGAAGGGGTTTACATATTGCTAAAACCTTGTAACAGCTCCAAATACATTTGGCTAGTCATCCAGTCAGCTCATAGTTCAGGTCAGTGTATTTGCTGTGTAACAGTCTTGGTTTGATTAAAGAGGCTGTGACAAAGAGGCTGAAAGAGGTTCAAGGGGGAGCAATGGCCAGCTGTCACATTGAGGGACCACAATGGCCACTGAAAATCCTACCACCATCTAAGCCTGTTTCTTCATTGACTCCAGTCTCCCGCCAACTGACTACTCACTTCTTTGTTAACCTGTCACAGGGCTAGTTGACAAGATGAGTTAGGACATTGTTGTCACTGTCAAAGATATTGTTTAAACTTATACATTTAAAGGGTGACTCACTGAATTAGTACTAGATTAGATCACAGTGACTGATGGAGTTCCCTACTGAAATAATAACAGATGTACTACAATACAGGGGCATTACAGTATTTCAGTGAAGCCTGTCTGAAGTAGTACTCCTAAGTAGTTAAGGTGTGCGCACAAGTGGTTTACAATTTGGGGTGTTTATTTTAAGTTTACAACCGCTGTCCAACTTAAACAATGAGTTGACTCATATAAATAGATTTGAATTCAATTCAATTTTATTTATATAGTGCCAAATCACAACAACAGTCACCTCAAGGCGCTCTATATTGTACAGTAGATCGTACAATAATAGATTTTTTGCATGCTAATGCGTGCTTATTTTTTGCATACTTCTTATATTGTTCAGTGCTGTGTTTAACTGTATGTTTTCCACGCCTGTCAGGCATAAAACCAACCCTATTTACCGGAACTATAAATAGGCTTCTTATGTTATTATAAAGAAAGTTAAAACTGTGTTACTCTCCTATAAGTGTAACTTAACTATTGAAAAATGCTATCTGAATGTGAACAGTAAGCGCTCTAGTGAGTGGCAAATGCAACTCTTGTAAAATCTGAAGATTCTGAACAGTTTTATCTTAAATAATAAGGAATGTGTTGTGAATGTGTATTCTTTCATTGTTATGTTGCTTGTGAGAACAGCACAGTCAATAACACCTGACTTGCACAGACACTGACTGACACAGCATATTGGCTCATGTGTCCCCAAACTGTAACTCCCCCTGATCCCCTGCTTCTCATTAAAACGATTAGTGTCCCTTACCCCTTCTTTGCACATGAAGGGGGGAGGCACACAGCGCCGGTAGCTGATAGCTCTTCAAGTCTTCCATGGTAGGAGTAGTAGGTAATGACTCCTGCCTGCCACGGTGGACCTTAATTTGTCATTGTAGCACAGCAGCTGTGCAGCATGCTGCAGAGAGCAGGTGGCAGCCTGGCAGGAGTGGAGGATGGGGAAGGGGGGGCGGTTGCTGGAAGGGAGAAGAGGCGGAGGAGGTGGTGGTGTGGGGTGGACAGGAGCGTGTGGCATATGTGGATGGGTGCGGGAGGGGTGGATGGAGAGCTGATGGTGGCTGGGTGTGTATATGCGTGTCTCGGGGGTGGTACAGTTGACAGCCTTCTCAGCCAGCATCCAAATATTATGCTGGTAAAGAAAAAAATAACACGTGAGACTCTGGATGCAATCCAAAACAATTTGTGGCTTCGACTCAACAGATGACACACAAAATATTCAACTTTGTTTTAACTTGCGTGCAAGTTTATTGTTCAAAGTTCAACATTAATTCATCCCTAAAGGGTAAATATCCACCATAGTTCTCTCGTCTTTGCTCGTTTCAGTGACAATTTGTGAAAGCTTTCCGAGCGATAGATTTAGGCTATGAAAAACAAAATCAATACACCAACAAGTTGAGGTCGTAAACGACTTTGCTCAAGGCAATGGAAGTGTGTCTGCTGTGAGGATTATGCGAGCTGAACTGGTGTCCTATTGTTGCCGCTGGGAGTTAATCATTACTGTTTCCCTGCTGCAAACGAGCGTTATTGGCTTTCTGCTTAAATGCTTACAATTAGTACCGCCCACTCAGATATTCTCTCTTGCGTTTGAGAAAACATACCTGATGCCTGGCGTTGGACTGGATCGATTGTCTCCGGCACATCGTGCTTCATTGTTTCTTCATTATTCTTAAGTGTTTAGAAGGTTTTTGGTTTGGAGGAAGGTCTGCCAAAAAATAAGCGAGAGAAAGTGCTTGAAAAGAAGCGCCAACCAACATTCCGCCAAGAGCAAGAAAACTCATAAAGACGAAGGGCATGGTCGGAATGCCGAGTGCTTTAACTTGTAAGTGAACCTTTAATGCATTTATTCCATATTGAAATGCATCCTGTGTGACTATGCGATCTTTTATCTGATATAGTGAATATTTACAGGTGTGTTCCTGATTTTTTTGCACCTGCGCTTTTATGCATACTGTTGAACAAATGGCCGGTGTGTCCTATTCTCGCGTTACATAATTAAGAATCCAGGATCTCAGTTAAAGAGACGTCTTTGCCTCCTAATGAAAATAAAGCAGAACTTTATTTACTTAATATGTGAGGGAAAGAGTATTGTTATCAGAGTTTCTCTCAGAGGGGAGGCTTAGTCTTCGGGAAAAACACCTTTTGAACGTGTTACTTCACATTACATCAAATCATTATGATGAGCAAACAAAAACTCGGTTATCCTTTTGTCTGGTAAGATCTTACGCTCATTACGATCCATTAAAGAGAGTGAATAAACTATGCATAACACATACTCTGTTGGATGCATTATCCCTTATATAGCCCCCACAACACGGCTATTATGCTCCCATTTGATTGAATAGCAGCTTGTGGTCTATGTGTCTTTTCAGTGGAGGATTTGGAGCCCTTAATCCACCAGACTAAGTTTTTTTCCTCTCTTTCCACCATCTGGAGTTTACAGCTTTTCAAGACAAAAACACCAGGCGGTGTGAAGCCAGGCTGGAACTCCTGCTTTATGCCAGGAGGAGTTTTTTTTCCTCTTTGTCTGTAGTTTCTTCCTGCTGTACTGCTGACACTGAGGGTCAATAGTACAGCCATGCAAGGCAGCTTGACTGTGGTGTGACTGGATCCCACTTATGTGTGCTGCTAAGTGTGGATTTGATGGGAATGGATGTGTTTAAACGCTGGATTTATAGCATCACTTAGTTGTTCAGTAGTCCACATGTGAGAACCACAATAAAGAGTCTGGCATCTTCTGTTGAAACAATTGTGACCAACATATGATGCAAGTGGGGTCAGCAGAGCCTGAAGGCTTGACTCTGGACATGTGTTTCCGTGACCCCCTGCGAGGACTCCATTTGGCCTCTTTCTCACCACAGAATAACAGATAATCAGATGACAAACACATCAACTTAATAAGATGCTGATGTTTTGGTGGTGAGAGTGGTAATGATGATGACAGAGTTACAACGGCCACCAGGGAGCAGCAGAGTGTGTACTGTAATGCAAAACTACATACATGATGGATGCTGGATTTGAAAGTGATTATTGTTTTGGAAAATTTGGTTCCACTCTTAAATCAGAAAGGATAAAATGTGGGTACTCTTCTGTTTTACCGTAATTGCTGTTTAGTTAGAGTAATTTGATGCTATGCAGAAAGCTAAAAAGCCCTCTGGGAAGGATGGATGTTCTAAGTTCACTGGGAAAAAATGTACTGAAGAGCATTTGTTTCAACATTGCTACACCATAGTTGATCATTTCCATTCTCTCTTGATTTAATTAACTCTACTTGAAAACATATGGATAATCTTCAACTCAGATTATTCTCCTCCTTCTCTTGTTCTCTTTGGGCTGGGGTACAGAGTCAGATTCCAATCCTCTGACATTAAAAAAGGAAATAAACGACAAAGGGGCCCTGCAGGTTTGAATTAGAGACTTTTAATTGGTTTTGGCTTGAGTGGGTTGTTAGCATTGCCAGACGTGGGCCCTTAGTGTTTTGCCATGTGGGAGAATTTCCCCATCCTGGAGGTAGAGAAAGGTGCCTGCAGAGCTTTCGAGTCACCCCTACACTGTTTCTTGTTCGTGTAGACAGACTGATAGCTTGCATGCAGTTGTGTCTGCATTATGTGTTATGTATCTTGTAATGTGTGAAAATATTTTTTTCCCAGTGTGTTATAAATGCTTGTAGCTTGTAAGGGTGTGTGTCATGCATGTGGTTGGCTGTGTTTTCATATAATGCATGTACTTGGGTGTGCGTGTGTGTTTTGTGTGTCAGGCTGTGAGCCCAGTATCCTTCTCACTCCCTCTGGTCTCTGCGTGGGTCTTTTCAACCAGCACTACCACCTGTTAGTGTTTTACTCAGGCCCCAAGGCTACAATGACTGCAGAACCTTGCAGATTTGCTCATCAAGCCCATCAGATCGACTCCATTGCCTTAAATCTGGCTCCCATTTCCTATCACAGGGCCGTTCTGAGCTGGATTGCTTGCAGTTCAGCTGAGTCAAGACTGTGGACAATTAAACAAGTTTGAGTTTAGTTGAGATTGATTAATTACTTGTGAGCGACAACATTTTATTCAGCATGTTCCACTGCTGGATCACACTGGAGTGTTTGCTAAGTGTGGTTTTAGTGGTTAAAGAGATGTTTAAAGTCTGGATTTATCGGGTTACTTTGTAGCCCGATTTGGCAAATGTGTCATACACAGCAAAGATTCTGGCACCATCTGTCTGAGTAATAATCTGAAAAGACAATTTGAATAGACTTTAATTGCAAGTGCCATATATCTAGTGCTAATCGTCATTTACAGTGAAAATTGTAGTCAAAGATGGAAATGAACTCTGACTGTAATAAACAGAATTTACTCCCTTCTTACAGGAAATGAAAATATATCATCTCTGCAGCCTAAACTGCTGCAAACTGCATCATCAGTCCATTTAAACAGATGGGATTTGTCATGTTTTATGTTTCGTGAGACCTCTGAGCTTTTCTGTCCCATTGTCTGTTTCCAATTCAATCCTCTGTGATCCCATGTCTATTACTTCAGACAGTGTGGCAACCTGAAGCAAAGGTTTGAAAAAGAAAGGGGGGGAAAGACAGAAGTGACCTAACAGTTAAAGGAACAAAACAGTGAGAGAATGGGAGTAGAAAGAGATTAACTGTCAGGGAGAATGTGAGGCTAATTGAAGCCAGTTTTGCACAGCTGTTTCTTGTTGCTGTGCGGTACTGCACAGAGCGGCTGAGACAATAGGATCCAGATGTGATCTTGCACTGAGGATCACCCGGCAATAACAATCCTCAGAAATAGAAGGCGTACAGGAGACGGGGGATATTAAGAGTGTCCGTGCTCGTCTACTCTTTTAACAAAACATCACTTCTCCACCTTTGAAAGATAACCCAGCTGTGCCTTTCAGTCTTGATTGCAGGTCTCAGCTTGGTTTTTGAGTGTTGTTAATACTCTCATTTTGTTATACTGCCAACCACCGCCATGACCTCTGTACTCAGGTGTCACTGGTAGCGTAAACATCGCTTTGACACATTTGACTATTCCAAAAAGGCGGCTTGCAGGATTTGAGAGTGGTTTTGCATACTTGTCATATGGCTTTTGAAGGACTCGGCCAAAAGGGACTAAAGCCTCTTTCCCTTTTGTGTGTTCATCTGTTAACAGTCTTTCCTTTAAATTGTCGTGTGAAAAAAAAACCTCAATAAAAAAAACCAAGCATCCTTTATCATTTTTGAGGAAGAAATGCAAGTCCTACGGTTGTGCGCAGGCATTTATTTGTTTGTCGACTTTAAGTGGAGGGACACTGGCTAGGAACAAAAGTGTCCAGTCACTTCAGAGCAATTTGGCCGAGAAAAAAAAGAAAAAGCAAGTGAAAGAAATGGATTACCACATTATGCTTTCTTAATGCCTGTCTCTCTGTTCCCACTTCTCATGCCTTTCACCCCCTTCCATCATTTCCCACTTGGCTCAGACAAAGAGGAGTTAGCATTGGTTACCCTTTTCTCCACGCCTCCTTTCTCACCCCCTGTTTCTGTCTCATGTTTCTCTCTCCTTCCATCCATCCTTTCTTTGTTCCCTCTCTTCCCTCCCTATGTTTCTGTCCCCTTTTCCTCTATTTATTTGACCTTTTTTCCCCTCTTTCCATCCGCACTCATCTGTCTGGTCTACTGTGTTGAGTCCAGCTAAACACAGCTGCAGCTTGCCTGTCACTGGCCAGAAGAAAGCTGACATCCAGCTGTGTATGAGTTATTATTGAAGACTCATGTGAGAAAACACAGTGCAGGGTCTGACAAGATGAAAAAGCAATATCGCAGCTTTAAAACCCATCTTCTTTCCCCCTGTTGAATTTGTCACTTCTGAAACATTTTTTAACATAAATAAATTCCTTAAGTCTTGTTTTGTTTGTTTGTATATTCAAGTAATACATCAAAATAATCATTAATTGTCAGCTGTAACATGTGTAGTGTTTATGGTAAGCATGTGCAACAAGCACAGCTTGTGTCTGACCCAGTATATCACTTCTTCCCATGACAAATAGTTGAATGGAGATGATGTAAAGCCTTGGCCCGATATTCTTTTCATATTTGACGCACACACACGCATGCAGTGAATGCAACACTGAATGTGTGATTTTTGCCAAAGTCAATATAACTCTCAAGCTGTTCTTTTCCTCTGTGAATTTTATGAATTTTGTCAAGTTCACGTCATGTGTCCTCACTCTGATTCCTTGCCTGCTAATCGTAGACACATACACAAGCTTGCATTGTAGACTGCCTGTGCTTGCTCTCAACATGTTCTCGGTGCAACTGTTTATTATCTTGTCCTCAGCTGGTGTCTCTGCTTATTGTCTTTGCTTGTTTGTCCCAGCAGAGTACTGTAGCAAGATGTCATACCCGCAGTGAGTATGCAAAGCAACGGCAAAGCAGGTGATGCCACAGTCCCCTATTGTTCGCTGGGATATTTAGGGGACTTGGCTCACAAGATTAAGCATGACGGTTGGGAAAGCAGGAGGAGGTTTGGCTTTGTTTGTTATATCTTTAAAAGAAAAGGAATCACACCGAGCAAAACTGTAAATACTACCGTCATTCTATTAGTCTTCAGCAGACACATCTGAAAATTATACTGCAACATTGACAAGTCCAAACATCCCTGAGGCTTAACCTAGGGAAATGCCAACACATGCCCCTGAATGTGTGCGTGGGTGTGTGTTAGCAAAGCCAGCCGTTATCTTCCCTCAGCTTTAATTGAGCCCTTCAGAAATCCCAAACACTATTACGCACACACAAACACACACTGAAAGTAAAGCCTGGAGGCTCTATCTCAGCCAGGCCAGGTGTTCCC